CAAAAGAAACTAAAGACTAGTTGAATCTCATTCTGAAAAAATTCAGAAAGGATATGAACAAAAATTATTCATATATTTAGATCTGGCAATATGAAAGCTATCAATCGCGACTGATGACGAGCATTTTGTTTTATGCCTGCAAGGATATTTGTATCAGTCAAAAACAGTAAAACAATTCGTTTCAACAAGCCATAATGAACTTAATTACTGAATTATTTAGAATAAAAGATGTTATTTTAGTAATCGTATCATGGTTTGTTTTATTATTTTTTGAAAGTAAAACCGATTTTTTATTCAAAGAAATACTCCAAAAATTATTACTAAGCCTTTCACTCGTTTTCCACTTAATATTTTGCGTATTTAAAGAAAAGAAAAGTATCTAAAAATCAACCTTTACAGTCATTTATCTTTTTTAAGTTTACGATAATCAGTGAAGTACACTGAGAAAATCATAATAAAAATAATGCAAATGAATGCTCTTGGGCCAGATCAATATTCACATTACATAAATATTGACCATTGTAGCAAAATAAATGCTCGCCCTCCAGTAGCAAAGTTAAAACAAAAATAGCACTGAACTGAGCAGCGCAGTTGGCTCATTGTTGTTGAAACCGATCTGCGAACTGTTGATGCAAATACTGACAACTTTTTCTCACGTAGTATAAAGATGAATTTTTTAGAAATGGAGTGTAACAAAAAGGTAATACTAATTGTTGCGCGTTTCAGTGTACTTCAAAGGGTTCCAAAAGTCCGGAACTACGTTTCCATATATTTTCGAATTTTACGAAAAGGTTAAGAAAGTCTTTCTTTTAATCTAACGTTCTTGTAAGAGGAATGGATTAAAGCAGTGTTTCTCAACTGGATTTACTCAAAGGCCCGGTAAAATATTTCGGTACGTTTTCACGGACCGGCAAGTTTAATAATTCGACTCACTAGCACAGTTTTTGGACAGATAGCTAGGTATTTCGCGGACCGGCAAATATTTCTTGCGGACCGGTGTCGGTGGTTGAGAAACACTGGATTAGAGTACTAAGGATTTTGAAATAGGTTTTAAGAATGTGTGTGAGTTCCAAGTCATCCACTCCTGATGATTATAAATTGCTATGTTTGTATACTTCCTAATTTCCTGCTAATTATTTTAATATTCCAATTTTCGATTTAGTAGTTTATAAACGTTTTCATTCCGAAGGTTATAAATTTTGTCTATGCAGGATAGACTGAATGCGTGATATTAATATCGGTTTTTAAGGGTCGTATTGTGTTATTAAGTGTTGTTGTGACTTATCTTATCAGGTTCAATGTTCCTTCTTTCCTTCTTCGGGAACATACAAGGACCTGACACGGAACAGAGAGCTTACTAAAGCTATGTTCACTAATTGTGGTAAGTAGACAGGATACACATGAAGGGTATACAAAACCCTTTATTTTTCTCTATATACAATAACTTCCGTACTTCGGATACACTGACCCGCTACTTGGGGTCTAACGCAAAAGTATAAAAATAAAAATAAACTCTAATTTAACTTTAGAATAATAAACGTGGAAGATTGGCCTTATAATAACAGGAAGCGTATGTAGTACAGAGAACTGTGAACACTACAATACGTTTTAAAATTTATCAAGAGGATTAAAACCTCTGGCCTGGAAGGCAAACAGCAACTGCGTAACTTCTAAGGTAAGCGGCCTGCTTTGACTCAACTGCTTCCTCTCTCTCGCTTGGCAAAAAGCCACAACTTAAATACTTGGCGTTCGCCAGACAACTTTGCATAAAAACCTTAACGCTTATAATTCTGGCCGGAAGTAGAAAATAAGAAGTGATAGTAAAGATTTAAAAATAAAAATAAACGTTAGTAAAACTTAAGATCCTTACAATCTTACTTGTCTGACAGTAACATCGGAACATGCCCTCGAAATTCATCATGACAAGGAGTGCAAGATTGCGCCCGTCGTTGGCAAGAGCCTTGAACACCAGACATGTGACAGTACAACTTTGTTCTGTTACGCTCTCGATTGTGATGGAGAGCGCTTCGGGGGACGAGTCCGAGGGTCTAACACCTCCCGTTCCCCTACCACCAACCTTTTGAGAGGACTTTCGGCTCGCCGCAAATTTAGAGTGCCCCAATGCCGTATGGACATTATACATTTATAAACATTCATGTCTTCTCCAGGATTCGAACCCGAAACCTTCGGTACGGCAGTCAGCGTCGCTAACCACTATCCCCGGTGGAGGCTGTTATTAAATTATCTTATTGATAAAATTCGAGTTTCAAGAATGATATACAGGTTTTTTTTTTTTTAAGTGACACTATTCATAGCCATCTGTAGCGCCACAAAATTTGGTAGGTGGACTAATAACGACACGGGGAAAAATTCCGTGAACAAATAGTTCCTAATATTGCCGTTAGGGAAATGTGGCTCTGTTCTAGTCTAAACAGCTGAGAACTAGACAAATCAATAACAAAAGAAGAAGAAATTTTAGCTTAATACTGCTTTAATGCAGCAAATGAATTGCTCCAAATGGTTGAAAAGATTATATTTCAGTGCGCCATAGCATTTTATTCAATAAAAGATCGTCCTCAAGCCAGGGCATAGACCTCTTATAATGTGATCACCTCATTGTGCATCACACACTGTATCCTGTACACGTCATTCTCGAGGCCGAACTTAACATGTTGGCAGGAATGCTCATGACATGTAGTCATTCGAGGTTGAGACCCCACCAGGATAGACCTTGTACTTCAAATAACTCCAGTAAAAGTCCCATGGGAATTGATACAGGGAACGAGATGGCCAAGTGAGTGGGAAAAAGCGAAATATGACTTCAGTAAAGTAATGGCGCAAGAGCCGCTGTACTGATAGACCAGGAATGGAAACTTTTTCGGTCGCGAGCCAAAAATCGACAAAAAAAAAAAAAAAAAAAAAAAAAAAAAGTTTGGCGAGCCATGATAAATTTTTCTAAAATTTTAAAAACAATATACAAGTATTACAATTCAAATATGTTAATGAGATAAATGAAATTGCAATTTTATTTTTGAAAGTTCCTGAGATGAAGTTTCTCTTACTGAAACGGAAGCTTGTTAAGGCGTCGTAAGTCAGGCGATATAATAATTTGATACTTCTTTCAAGTGAAACGAATTCAGAAAAGGTGAAATTGGTTTGAGCTTGCTTCTCTTGAAAGAATCAGTCAATTGAAGAATGTTCTTGACTGAAGTAACGTCTAGTAAAGTACCTGATCTTGTCCACTTGGACAAAGTGAAGTTAATGTTTCCAGTATACCAATGACTTAAAAGATCTGAAGAAATGACGTAGTAATGAATACCTAGGACTTTTAAAACAACAGACTGCAAAGAAACTTTTCGAATCTGTAAGAGTTGGGATATTTTCTAAATAAGAAGTAGTGGAAGCAAATGCTTGAATTGGCCACTTGGTCAAGTTTTTGCCCGGTAAAGATGAATACAAGGCTGTTTAAATTAAAAACATCAAGCACGGAGCTTTTGAGACCAGTTCAATGCCTCTATCGCTTAAAGATCAATAATGATGAAAGAGCAGAAAATTCGGTAGTAAGATCTGATGAAATGAAACGTATTACTTCTCTTCTCATCTGCAGGTCCTAGAGATACTCATCACAAGAATATGTTAAGCTAAGTGAACGTGTTCCAAGTGTGACTAAATTCCGACGTACAGGGAAGCTCCAAAGAAATTATATTTTTAGACTAATTGATTCTTTAAATTTAGTAACTAATTAGTTCCCCCCCCCAAGAAGCATTTGTCCTTAATATTTAATGTAGTGTAATTATACTTAACATTTATAGTTACTTGTTAAAAATAGTTGCAATTTTTATAATTATTTATATGTTTAAGTTTTAATTAGTCACAGCAATTAAAAGGTGGGAGAGTGTGGAAACTGAAATTAAGCTATAATGAGCTTATTTTTAAGTATTTAGTTACCACAGAGCGGCAACAGTACAATCATTTCAAAGAATGCGAAATGTTTTGGTGAGGTAACAGCGGCTATTAGAAGCAAAATTATATTGGCGCTTTGTTCATATTTTTGCTCTCTAAATATAAAAACAAAGTTCATTCTATGTTTCGTGCCCACCAGCGGCCGAGCGGTAAAATAGCTGAACACTGGTAATTACGACCTGGGTTCGATTTAATGCATGGACGTTTTAATGGTTTTCTCCATGCACAACGTGTATACAGGCCAGTTTCCTTTAGAAAGGTCTTCCACGAAGGCATCCCTTCACCTTAGAGAGACATCCCTAGAGTGCTCTGTCATAATCAACTAAAACCAAACCATTCTGTGTTTCATTGATCAGGAATGTCTTGCCAGTTTGAACTCTTAATTGCTTTGTCTAGAAGCGCATAATAGCCAAAAAACTTTACCGGCTAATAATTTATAGGTAATCAGGAAAAAAAAAAAAAAAAAAAAAAAAGTTTAAAACGGAGTTCTTGATTGCCATTGGAGAAATTTCTGACGAATTTGGCCATCAAAGGAGAACTTTCTAACGAAATTCTAAATGTCACATGACATCAAACTTTCTAAACCTTAATTTCAAGAAGCAACATCACCAGTTTCGTATGTCCTAAACTTCATATTTCAATATGCGCTTATGGGATTTGCCTGCAGTGGAAGAACTTACAGTGAAAGAAGGAATACAGTATTTTCCCCCTTTGAATCAATCTACTTTTAAATTGATCGCGACGAAACTTCCACCAGAATAATAGAAACAAATACCCTATCGTAAGTGAGTTTATTAATTGGTCATCGAGATAAATACCTAATTAAAAGTTAAATATGTATGTAATAATACGTACATATATATGTAAGTATGTTTTTCTCCATTTATAATCATCATACAGTTTTTTCTTCTGATACTTTCACCAAACGGCACCAAAGTGGCTGCGCTAGTACCAAAAGCATTGGAGGGGGGGGAGTGCACAGAATGATGATGAAAGCATTTTGACGCATTCAAACAAGCACAAAAGAGAACTAAAGATTATTTTCACCATTTTTTTTTATTTTTCTGTATAAACACAAAGGACATTTTAATGCAAGAATTCTATTGTAGAGTATTGAAATAGTACCTCAATACTGCTCATAAAGGCTAATCAATAGGAAAGGCTAATCAACAGGAGGAATGCCCATAATATACTTCAAATAACATGCTAATAAAAGTAGAAAAATTTAAAAGGCTATTAAAACCAATAATGCTATGCAGCTTTCTATAAAAACATGAATGAATTAATTTTTTTATATATAAATAAGTCTGAGATATAAAAACTGAGGACTGATGTACAAAACAGCACCACGAGAGCTTGATGATGATGACATGATATTGATGAACAATAATACATATAAGTACATCCATATAGTAAAATCAAAATGACTTTATGCTTAGATTTTAAGTAAAAGAGCGAGTACAGAGTTAGAATTACAAAATTTGAAATAAATAAAAAGGCATGCATTAAAACAAAGAATTTTTATGTTTAAAAATTTTAATTAAAATTATGAACGCACATATTAATAATTCTAAATAAAAGAAGTATTTTAAATGAAGCCTATTGTATAATATGTAAAACAATACCAATTTCTCAAATTATCTTTTGAATGAAAATTAAATGTTTAAGAAAACATTTTAAAAGCTTCACAATTTAATTATTTAAGCTTCACTAAAAATAAATGAGATCAAACTTTTATACATTACTGTTTCTTAAAGGAATAAATTTTTATTACAGTTAGAAAACGACTTATTTCATCATTTCAACATTCATTCTACGTACTACATGACACATACTTTTTTGATACAGTAAAGACTATTACTTTTCTACATGCACAAATATGCTTTTCTTTTATTTCTTCTTTAATACATTAATAAATAACAATGTATAAACAAATACAGAGAGATGCAATTGGCAAGGAATTTCATCATTAGCAAAGTATACAAAAAATGGAACTTCTAAATGGAAATCTAATACAAACTTTGATGCATGCAAATTCATAAGAAGATTACATTTAATTTGGTAGATGCATAGGAGGAAAATGTTTTTGAAAATTTACGTGTGACAGAAGTTATGATGTTTAATAAAAACATTTTTATTTCTGCTGGCACTGATATTTCATGATTTCCTGTTGCAAAAATTGGTAACTCAATAAATGTATTTTGCACGAAATGAAAAGAAAAATATTTTATCCAAAAGAAAACACTAAATTTCTGATATACATTTCAAGAAAAACTGATAACACTATTGAACATCTAAAAATATTATATACAACTGCTGGTTTTTTGAAAACTTTGTTACAAGCGAACTAATTTATTATACATTAATTCTCTGAAATTTTAATAATATCACAAAAAGGACACAAAACAATAAAACTTCAGATACAGTAAATTAAACATATACAGAGCTTTCACATTTAATAGATCTATTTTACACCCACTGAAATTGAGCGGTATGTCTAATCATGAATTTACACATGCTTCCAAGAAAAGCATTATTTATTCATTGGAAGCAATATTTTCATGGCATTTTGCTATCAAAGCATCGTCAATATATGCCACTTAGAATTATTAGCATTTCATAATATTTTAAATATATTATTAGCATTTCATAATATAGGTTTAAAAAAACCTTAGGTAGCAACATGCATTTTGAAATGTATATTTATAGGTTTGCCTCCTAAACATCAAAATTTTAAAATCTTAGCAATGGATGTGCTGAGTATTGGCAGTACAAAGCACATTGTTCCATGTCATAAAAAAGTATCATTTCAAACTTGTAAAAAGAATTCCAAAACTGTAAAAATTACTTCAAACTCGAGTGAAGAATATGAAATGCTACTGATATGTGTTATAAAAAATTTCTCAGAAATAAAAACCCGCAAGAACCATTAATAATGATAATAATAGCTGGCAATACAAACAGCAGTTATGAAGTCAGTAGAGTAATTTGTTACATTTGATAAAATGGTAGAAAGAGAACGATAGCATCGCCTTTGTTCATTAAAAGACAACAATTACAATTGCATCAGACCATTACATCAAAAAACTTGATAATAAATGGAGCATATGAGCTATAGATGGCAATTTCATTCTAGTAGAATTTTCATCTTAAGCAGCAGTACCCTTTTCTTGATCAATCACTGAAATAAGATAATAGATGGAGTTAATGAATTTAGAATAATAAAGAATGTTTGAAAAATTAATTGCACTCAAAATATAATGAAAGAATGCATGTATGCAACAAAAATCAAATGAAATGCATAGTAAATGTGATTAACGAAGGCTCATGATTTGAATAGATGTAATTTAACACATCCAGCCAAAGCAAAAATATTAATTGTGACTCATTTCATAGCTTTTAATGGGCTGTGACATCATATTTAAGGAGCGACAGATGCATAATTTTCTCTTCACCGTCACTCTAGAATGGACTATCAGCCGGAAAAGTCTGTTGTACGTACTTTCCACTGCCATGCAGCTGGAATTATAGCGTCTTTAGCGCAATGCTTTTTCCACTTCTGAAAGCACTCCCTGTAGTTTTGCGAATCACTCTTAGATCTGTCTCATATTTTATTTTCAGTTTGATTTAGAAATGATGTTCTTTTAAAGAGCATTACAATTTTGGAGGTAAAAAATGTGTTACATAACACCAAGTGTAATGGTTAAGGGGCAAGGAATGAAGACGATTTTGCTCGTCGTTAAAAACTGACAAACCAGTAAAGAAATATGAGGTGGGGCGGTGTTCATGACCAATTACTTTGTCAGCTTCAATGCCTTTTCTTCTTGACTCACGTAAAAAAAATTAAAAGTAAATTATTCTTTAAATTCCTTAACCCTTAGTGGTCACGAATATACTCGGAGTTCTTCAAGGAGAAATCATCAAGAATTTGAAAATGTTAAAACTGTCACTTTCCCATTCGACCTCAGTGCCATCATATTTGATTGAAGTTATACCTTTTAATATGCTTGAACTATTAACTCAGACGAGCGAACTACAAGCCTTCTCCAAAATCACTTTCTAGTCTGCTCTGCACCCGTTGCAAGTTTTTTAAGTTTGAAACCGAATTTTACGCATACACGCTGTTTCTTGAAAAGCTTTAACAAAAGTCAATGGGATAAAGGAAACCTACTTTAGAAACGATTATAAAACTCAAAAGAAATGGCTTATAAATAAAATTACGTTCAATTACAATCTGCTGAAAAAAGGTGATCATCACTTTTTGTCACTCTCATACAACTGTCGTTTTCACTAATACATACTAAGTTGATGCAACCATGGAATTCATCTAACAAAAATTACATGCTACAATATCATTGTAAAATTATTTAATAAAATTAAAGGTATATTAAGTAGAGGTATTTTACCCAGTAAGCTTATAAAACACATTTTATACTCCATAACAAACTTAGCACTTTTGCCAAGATTTTTAAATTGCAACAAAAGACATTTTTTTAGAGGATGAGAACCATTATAATCTATCAGAACTTTATACAAAATTTCAAAGACGGAACATATCGTGTTTACTACATTTTTCTAAATAGTTATATCATATGATAAATTAATACATAGATAATGCTCATTATTTATTTATGCTCAGTGATACAAAAAGTTTGATAATTTACTTATTAAAATCTTAAACGTAAAATGAAGACTGAAATACGAATTTTTTTGACTGTAAGAAAGTTAACGATAACTGGCGTAAATTCTTTTCAAGGAAAACAGCTTTAAGCGATTCAACACTACAGCCGTCTTTAACCGCAACTATATAAACGACAAGTACCACAAACAGAAAGGCAGACTGAAGAATTCTCGAGAACATTCTCATAGATAACCATGAATGGGATGAATGTAATGAAAGGGAAAAGCAAAATTAGCGAAAAGAAACAAAATAAGTAAAGCCATGGAATGGAAATGGATTCAAAAATAGATAGGTGGGGAAAATGGGTTAGAATTTAAGCCACTGACTAGCATAGAGATTTTTTTTTTTTTAAATGGATGGGAAGACCTTAAGGAAGTCTAATTCCTTGAAGTCTTCAAAAAGGAATTTATCATTAACATCTTTTTTTTATTACAAAATTTAAACATATGATTATCACTTTATGTGCAAGATAATATTCCCGTTTTCCCTCATCCTTCTATAAAAAGGTAATTCCTAATTCTATTTTCTCATCATTTGCTTTGTTTCTTTATTTTACTTTTTACTTCATTATACATGAGCTACAAACATATTCTCAAAAATTCTTCATTCTTTCTCATACTGTTTGTAATACTTTTCTTTCATTTAGTTGCAGTTGAGAGCAATAGTATTGAATCGTTGAAAGCGCTTTTACTAAAATAAAATTTACGCTGATTATCGTTAGTTTTCTTAAAATCAGTTTTACTTGAATTATTCTTTCCTATTTTTAGAAAGAACTTAAACTTCTGATTTTGGCATGGTTGAAGAACAACATTTTACGTCGTCTAAGATAAAAAAAAAATTTGTAAAAAGTGGTATGAGTTTTTTTTCCCCAGTCATTTATTGTCGAAAGGAAAACAACAAAGGAAAAACAATCAGCAAACATTTAAAAAGTGCCATTCCGTTAAAATTAAAAAAACAACCTGCAAACTTAAATTTCTGATTCTGTTCTATTCTCCAGAAAAGAATAAAATAAAATGAGTAAAAGAATGAGAAATATAATTATTATTTTATTTTATACAAATAATATTTAACGTCTTTTCTTAAAGAAGAATAATTATGGTTTAATTAACAAAACTAAATCTCTGCTGTTAAATAAAATTAAAACCTAGTTCGAACACATTTCAATTTTAAAAGTTCCTGCAATCTTTTTTCATTTCGTTTTTGAAAGTAAAAGGATATAAATAGGGAAATACCAATGTATTAAAAAGTTATGTTGCAATAAAATTCCATCACCAAAATTCTATTTTATTTTAGGTACAGAAGATAGCATAACATCAGCATAGTTAAGAATTTTGCAATCGACATATTAGAGTGCAATGAAACCTCAGTTCACGAATTTAATTCTTTCCCGAAGACCGTTCGTAAGCCACAGGAATTAACGTAAAATAGATAAATCATTTCCTGGCCCATGCAGGATTGATAATTTAAAATTTATAACAGTTACTTTGGGCACAAATTGGTAATGTAAAAATAATGGAAACCAATAAATGTAAATCGATATTAAGCCAATAAAGTGCATGAAAATTTAATTTTATTAAAGAATGGATGGTATAAATGGAAAGTGATGAAAAAGAGATGATAATGCTTGGATGAGGAGTCCCCTTTCATAAAAATCTCAGGAAACTGTCTTTCTAGGACATTTTCTCTTATCTTTTCTTTGTCTCTTAGCATCACTAGACTTATTAATGATCCGTTCGATTCCAACTTGTCCAGTGTGATTTGCTGTTGCTTTAAAAGTTTGTAAAGTGCTTTGCGCACTAGATTCCTACAATGATTGATAATGAAGGATTTGATGCTGGCGGTACCTGGTTCACAGATGAAGCCCACTGGCGATCTGGGGGTTCCGAAAATTCCCAGTTGTGTGAAGCGAAACTGCATTCTCCCAAAGTTATTGTTTGGGCTGCGATAAGCAGCAGAGGTATTATTGGTCCTTTTTTTCCATTCGAAGAACAATTACCAGTAAACATTACCTTGCAATTTTAGAAGAATTTTTCGCCACATAGCTAACGTTGGAGGATCGACCAGGCACCAACTGGTTTGTGCAAGATGGAGCCGACCACATCGCACCGAATAGGAGTTTCGCTTTTTTGATGATTTTTGCGAGTCTTGCGTTGGATTACTCCAAATTTATTGGGGCAGGTATGGACTGGCCTCCATATTCGGCCTATGTGACTCCTTGTGACTACTTTTTGTGGGGCACATTGAAAAACGTTGTTTATCGGAACCATCCCACACGCCTGACGAGCTTGAATCATCTATCTGTGTGGCACCTGAATCATTTTCGTTGTGACATTACAGGATGTGATAGCAAAATTTCAATGTTTGTTGTACTACGAGCGTTTCAATGTCCCCTTTGTACTACGAGCAATGTACATTTCGAAGAGATGACTTCAAAGACTGCTTGCAGAGGAAGAATTTATTTATGCATGTTGTTACAAGTGTACAGCGGCATCTGTTGGCAGCTTTCGTAACTATTACTTCGAAATATCTATGTAACAACCTTACAGTTTTCCCAATAAACATACCACAATAAACATATTAGTCCATTATCGATCTTTGTTTCAAGATTTTTAATTTCGAAATTAGAGACTTGCTGGGCACCCTGTATCTTATCTATAATATTATAAAATAGATAATAGTTGCAAAATATTATTAAGAAGTGGGTATAAAAGCACTTTTTAAATGATTCATTTCTTATGTGGATAACCAATGCGCTTTTACAATATAAATAAAAGACATTCGTTGTCCAATAACATCAATAGTGTTCTGATCTTCACGTGTATTTCTGATATTTGTTTGCAAAGAAGATATTATCGCGTGTACAATCATTAGTTTATTTCAGAGCAGGAAAAGCGCAAAGTGATCAATGGCATCGCAGGGATTCGAACTTTTATTGCCAGCTGGACATGCTTTCGAGTTACACCACAAAGGCACATACTAAGGAAGGAGAAAATTCCTTATATTCTCCCCCAATTAAAGGGTGACTGATGAGGAGGGAATCCAGATGCCAAATCCTAATGGTGCTGAATTATCGCCTTCCACATGTTAGTTCAGGCGCCACGCGTAGAATCATTAGCTTTATTTCAGATCAGGAAACAAGAAAAGTCATCAGCACCTCTTCGGGATTTGAACTCCGAACCTTGCAACTGCTGGTCGGATGTGCTTTCCAAAAGACTCGCAATAAGAAAAGAGAAAATTTCTTACATGCGAACCGAAAACACATATCAATATGCAAACAGTCTATTTATTCATAAACTGAAAATTTTTTTCATTTTATTCGATTGTTCAAAGCCTTTATAATTCACTGATAAAATTTTTTTTACAAATGAGTGTATTCACAAGTACGAATGATTGATTTTTAAAAATAAAGAATAAATAATAAAAACCACGCAAATCAGCTTGAAATAGTAATAAATGCTTTTTATGCGAAATGCTTTTTTAGGTAATAAAACGGAAATTTAGAATTTTTTTTATCAGAAAATAGATTTGACCTCTACCTAAATGGTCAAAATAATAACTGTTTCAATGTGCGACCAGGAACATATTCACTTATTTAAGGCAGTATACTTTTGTTCCTCTTGCGATAGTTTATTACAAATACTGAAGTTAACTGATTGATTTGAATCGGTAATAAATGAATTAAACTTTGAATAAAAAATAAAAGCAGACCATTCACACTTTATATTCATGCAAGATACATTAATATGATAAATTTTAAGTACTTTAAGTAAAATTTTGAAGTAAAAAGTACTTATTTTTCTAAACTTTTTTTAAGCGTCGCAAAAACATTGAAGCATTGGTCCAAGTCGTGCATGAATACTTTTCATGGTACGGATTATGGTGCGAAAGAGAAGGTATACTTCTCCCATTTGAGTTGCTGTATTATGTCTTGTTCCTTGCGTGATGTGCGATTTGTAGTTTATAAACCAGCTATTTCTTTAATTTGGGAGCAGTGCTTCGCGAGTACCTGGAACTACAGATATGGGAGCACGATTGTGAACCTTCAGCTTTAAGAAACCCTGATTTAAGATTTATTTCAGCTTTAAGATTTATTTTAACCAAAGTAACTACTTATTTAAAAAAATAACTAGTTAAGACAACGAGAAATTGAATGCATAACTTAATGCTTTATTTTCTAACTGCACATCTGCTCTTGTTTATCCTGTTATTGGCTTATTTAATTAACTTATTCAAATGAAAACTATATTATTATGCTTCATGTAAGTCTTGGACCATTCCGGTTAATTAACTGCAACAATCGATTCAAAATCGTTTTAAATTATAGAAAGACAGTCGAAAATATAAAAGAAATATAATCTCACATTTTCTACGTTTCGTGAAAATTTGGAAAACAGCTTATGATAAAATATTTCTTATTATTTTTACATTATGTGCAGTATGAAATCACAAGTATGGTTTTCGATTAAACGTTTTTACCAAGTTTCATTATAGGAAACTTTTCCTCACCTTCTTTTGTTGGCAAAGGATTCTTCTCTTGAGTCTCTGTGGGTTTCAATTTTGCAGGATCAAAGGACTCAATGCCTTGTAGAATGGCTCCATAAGCTTGATTTCCCTTTTCTTGTTCAATAACTGAAAGTTAAAATAATTCTTCATCAGTCAAATAATAACAACAGTAAAAGAACATATTAATGTCACAGAGCTCATAAATCTGCTTGAAGATTTCGAGATATGTATGTCACGTTATATCACTCGTCATTTGGCAAAATCATCTGGCATTTCTATAACCAATTAACATAGAATTTAGTTCAGAAATTTCGTAACAGATGTTAAAGCAATATTTAGGAATACTTGACATGCGATACCTTAAAGGCTTACTCGAACGCAGATGGAGGTAACAAACATATAGACGAGTAAGTTATCAAATGAATTTAATTTTGAATTTTCATATCAATCTAACCAATCAAACATACAGCATAATACGGCCTGACATAATAATTCCTATTACCACCTTAGTTAGGTAATATGGCGTAATAATTCATATTGATACCATTTGGGTTAATAGTTTAGGTAATATGGCGTGCTGGCACTGGGCTTATCAAGCCCCGTAACTCTATTCTCAAGAATTTCCGATTATGCGGACTGTACTTACAGAGTGATTATTATTTAAACTAACCTATTTAGCTCTATGTAGAGCCCATTCTATTAAGTCTATTTCGTTGAAACTTGGTATATACGTTATATGAACCATGGGGAAAAGAAATCTGCAATAAAAATTAATAGTTCAAATTTCAACCTTTAGATGGCGCTTTTCATGCAATATAGAAAGGACGTTATGCAAATTTAAAGCATTTTGAAAAGACAGTAGCCAATGCCTTAAAATCATTCTTCACCATGCTTTTAAAGAAGAAAGTTTGAGCTTTACTGATCAAGTTGTTTTATCAGAACGCAAGTAATCTTTCAACTGCACTGCGAAAATATCGACGTTTGAAAGGATTACAAAAAGAGCCTATGTCGAAGCTGGGTTTGAAAAAAGATGATTACTAAATTTGAAGATACTGTGGAGTTGTATGTGCTGCGAGGAAGAGGATGGAAAAGAATTTCAAATGATAATCGCTCTTGCCATGGTCGAAAGAGCGTCCAGTTTCCAACATTGTTAGACTTCCTTGTAAAAAGATATCCATACAAGAACCAAGTTCTACAAGAGCTGCATCCTTCAGATAAGGACAAACGCACTGATTTTGGCACATTTTGTGGTCGAACGGGTAGCATTTCACCGTAGACGAAGCAACCAATACTCAAAACTGTCGCATATGGGGTACTGTAATTCCTAATGCTGTGCATAAACGGATCTTTGCATCCTGATTATATTACTGTATTGTGTCGCTTAATTGCTAATTTCATTCCTTTTTCTTTGAGAAGGATACTCACAGGTGTTCCATCACGGGTGCCCGTTACTGCGAACTTCTTCAGCAGAAAGACATTCCTGCCTTACAAGAACCAGAATGTTTAGAAAGTACTGTCTTCATGCAAGATGGTGCACCACCTCACATTACCGGACTAGTAAAGGTACTGACTGCTTCGTGCCCACTTTCTAAAGCTGATCGGGTAATTTAGATTACTTTTTCGACTGCCTGGCCTCTTCGTTCTCCGGATCTGAATTTTTGTGACTTCTGGTTGTGGCGATTCTTGAAAGATCGTGTCTATGAAGGAAGCATACGAGCTATGCCTGCATTGAAAGCACGCATTACACATCATGTTGCTGCAGTTGATCAAAAAACCCTTTGCTCTACTGTTGAAGGTGCTGTAACACGGTTTGAACGCGTGATTGACGCAGATGGAATGCACATTGAGCAAATGCTGTGATTAAATAAAGTTTTCTCCTTCCAGTTTGCGTTTTTGTTCTTCATTCTCTCCCTTCTCACTTGGTAGTCGAAATTTGAAATGTTATTTTGGTCAATCTAAGTATTACCCTATTTAGAACGACGTAGAGCCAATTCTAATCGACGTATTCTGTTTACCTTAGTATATACGTTACATGGATCTTTAATTATAACCACCCTAATAATGAGACCATCTATAATAAAGAAACTGATGCCATATCTTAATCTAAATTTAAGCATTGTAAGGATCTTAAGTTTTACTAACGTTTATTTTATTTTAAATCTTTACTATCACTTCTTATTTTCTACTTCCGGCCAGAATTAAAAGCTTTAACTTATTTATGCAAATTTGTCTGGCGAACGCCAAGTACTTAAGTTGTGGCTTTTTGCCAAGCAAGAGAGAGGAAGGAGTTAGTAGAAGCAGGCCGCTTGCCTTAGCAGTTTTACTCGGTTGCTGGTTGCCTTCCAGGCCAGAGGTTTAATCCTTTTGATAATTTTAAACGTATCGTAGTGTTAACAGTTCTCTGTACTACATACGGCTTCCTGTTAATACACGGTCAATCTTCTCGGAGGCCCTTGTTTATTATTTCAAAGTTAAGTTAGAGTTTAGTTAATATTTTTATATTCTTACGTTCAGGACCACAAGTGTTTGGTCTCTGTATTCCGAAGTCCGGAAAATCATTGTAAAGAGTGAAAAATAAAGGGTTTCGTATACCCTTCCTGTGTATCTTGTCTACTTCCCACATTTATTGAACATAGCTTTAGTAAGCTCCCTGTTCCGAGTCAGGTCTTTGAATGTTCCCAAAGAAAGTAAGGAGAAACACTGAACCTGATAGCATTTCCAGCAAATAGTTTCTAGATTTTAATAGTTTTATTACGTTTTAATTAAAAGTATTCTAGGTGCCGTATCTTTCGATGAATATCCTTAAAATTGTTGTGTAAGAATCTGAAAAGTATTTTTAATGTTTTATAAGGTATTTCTCCCGCCTTCTTGGCATGCCTTCGTGGTGTGGTGGTCTGCACACTGGGCGCGTATTCCAGAGGTACGCGGTTCGATTCCCGGCGAAGGCGTTGCTAATTTTTCATCTTGCCTGCTTCCAAAAAATACCTGACATCTCTACAGTTTAACATGACAATTTAAATAGCTTTTTAGAAAACGATATCATGGTACATAGAACTAACATGCATAGTTCAAATAAAATACTTAGGTCTCATGAAATACTAATAAGAATGCTTGAAAATACTCTAAATAAATGAAGCAAATTTATAATGTGAAAATCCATAATATGGATTTATTAACTAGTTTTCCTACTTTTTATGCTGCACATGCAGATCGTAAGTACACCAGATATAATGTTTTAAAACAACTGCTCTGACTAAAGAAGCCAATATTTAAAATTCATTATTTTATCCATATTTATCCAGTACTGATATACTGTACAAACATATGCAGTATTCATATGCATAGAGAAATGTTTTTAGTTATAAAAGTTATACCAATGGATGTTTTTAATACTTATACTCGAAGAAAAGGGTATATTATTATAACTGTGCTTGCAAATAATAATAATTAGTATTTAAATAATGAAACAAAATTCTCACAAATTTGTAATAAAACTCAAAACAAATAAAAAGACCAAAAAATAATAACACTCAGAGCATATTAATGTTAATAAATCAGAACATGGGATGCAAATTTCCAGATCAGCTTGGATATTAATAAGCAACGAAATTCAAACTTTCTATAATTTCATATGAAAACTCTCAATGTAATTCTCGAAATAAGGAAGATCTCTCTTCTTCAGGTGTGATTCAATTTTCTCATGAAGATGTTAGCTTGTCTCTTGAAATGTCAAGTTTTAAAAATTAATATCAAAAAAAGGTTGAAATTTGTCTACTATAAAAATTAAGTGATGGCTTTACACTCCAAAAGAATTCAAATCTATCACAGAAACACTAATGCATTTCATTGAACTTATAAAGGTATTTTCCCCCCTTCTTTCCGCGTGCCTTCGTGGTGTAACTGGAAGTATAAATGACGCGTATTCGAGAGATCCTCCAGGGTTCGAGTCAAGGGGAGGGCACTGCATATTTATCACGTTTCGAGCATAAAAAAAAACCCCAAACACTCGACATACTATAAGAGAAGCGGTTATAAGATAAATATTGAGAGGAGGTTATGAGATAAAATTGTTAGTTGTGAGAAAGCTGCTTATAATCAAAAACAATTAGTAAACTAATACTTACAGGTAACACATTTCTATGATCGTGATCAGCTGCATTACATTTAACACACACATATATGCCTAACATGCTGTGAAAAAAGAAACAGATACCCAACCTTCTTTAGTTGGAATAAAATTTTTCACAACGGTCTGGGTCTTCTTCAATTTGCTTCTGTCAAATCCAGTCACACCTTTTAGAACTTCTTGTTTTCTATCATAAATTTTCTCTTGTGTAAGCACTGGCAGATGATAGTGCAATAATTTATTACAGGAAATTTATATTTTCTATTATATATATATATGAAGCAAACAGAATAAAATTTCACCATGCCAGCACTTTCTATCTTAAAATACTGTTATTTTCATAGCTTAAGTTCACTTCTATAATTAAATTTATTTTATATATTTCATCACAATTATAAAGAAAATAAGAAGATTTACTAGAAAAAATAGGAAATATTTTTCCTGCAGCAAAGCATGCTAAGGAAAAAAAAATATTAAAGCACGGAAAGGCCTTGTTAGTTTTAGATTTTTTTCTTTTTTTTGCAACATTATATACAGAGAAATATAGTATCACAAAATAGATTACGGTATACAAAAGCAGATCACAAAAAAATATGCTCTAATCATATGCATCTAATTTACTATTTAAATCTAAGCTAGGTGCTATGTATATTTTCGCACGCTCATCTTGTACTAACACTTTAGTCTGCCAAATATTAAAGCTATAACTACGAAATTTAAGCTACTGTTAAGAAAAGCAGTAAAGTTATAGGTTTTATTACCAAAAATATTCGGATTACACAGCGCTGAATTACGAATGCAGGGGAATACATTGTGCAATTAGTAGCTTTTTCATGTGGAATTCTTGTGCAAACAGAAAGACATGATTTTAAATACTAACAATATTCTACAATATGAATTTATATGTTTATTTTTGTGGTGAACGGAGACATAATGCCACATCAGCAGTATTTTTGTCCACGAGATTGCAAATAAGCTAAATATTTCCTAATCAGGTATCAGAGTTGCTATAAAAAATTGCATACCAATGGTTTTTACATCTCTGAAATCTTGGAAGCAGTTTAAGAGGAATGCTCTAAATAGATTGTCATTCGTACAAAATCTGCATCAGACGCAGAAGATTATCTGTGAGCTCATCTATCATTTGAACAGAAATGCACACCTATGATTTTTGTTGGTGAACACCAACAGCACTTAAGATTGGTATAAACAACAAAATACTAAGAGGCATTTAATGGTAACATACAGGTATTTTTCAAGAACTAGAAGAAGAGTTCATAACCAAATACATCGTTTTTATTCTGTTTATATCTGTACCCAGGGCCGTTACCAGCGTATTTAAGTACTTAGTGAGTATGAAATTAAAATTTCATTAATCACTTGGCATTTTTTTTTAAATTTGGGGGTGGCAATCTTAGGAAAACACGCAAACAGCCAATGGCCTAGGAACGGCCCTGTCTGTACCAGTATAGTTCATCTAGATGTAGGTGGTTTCTTTAATGACTGCATATGAGACCATAACAACGTAAGCCTACTTAACATCCTGGTCAATTCAAAAATACTAGAAAGGATTTTAGTTGCAAAGTGCAAACGCTACAAATCATATTGAGGATATCTGATAAATTAGTTTCAAAGGAAAGACAAGTTATTGCTCTGGTTCTATTTAGAGCTCCAGTTTTAAGACTACAGCATCTAAGTATGGAACTTAAGAACTGTTCTAAACTTTATTAACGTGAGAAATATTCAAAACATCTTTGATTACGCCCTACAGCAAGAATCGAAGGGAATACTCGCTGAAAATTTTTGGAAACTGAAGGACAGACCACTGCTTCTGCGCATATTTTTCGCATTGTCATTTTTTACCGATCAGACATCGATGTGAAAATATTTTCAAAGGTCGATCCCACAAATATTAATTTTTACAGGGTATGCCTTAACTGACAATTGCATTGATTTCATAAGACAGATAGAATATATTTAAATGCAATAACTAAGTCCCCAACAATTTGAAATATTTATTAGCATACTGCATGCAAGAAATCCTTTTTTGCTGGCGTCAGTAGCCTGAAAACAAAAGAGGAAAATGAATCAAAGATTGGCTAATGGTATCTGAAAGAATCGGGAAGAAATCTTGAAACAAAATTTTTAACTCTGCCATCTGCAATCAAATGTTCATCAAAATGCGAATGAATTCTTAATTTTCTTCGTGTGATGCCGCATATCCGTAGATGTCAACATTTTCAGCACCTTACTATATAATCCTAACCAGCATCATCTATGTGGCGATGGTAATGTCAGCCTAATTAAATCTTTTCTTTAGTTATTGTCTATGAAACAAACTTCAAACTTTCACGATACATTCATGCATGTGTTCATATACCTCCAGGCACTGAGCACAACCACTCAATTCCGTCTCTGAGAAATTCGTTAACCGAGACATCTGGAGATTGTAAAATTGGACTGGACTGGATTATTAGAGTAGGGAAAACATGCAATAGCAGTCTGCTAAAGGAGAGAAATATCTTCGTGAAGGACGTTTTAATGGAAACTGGCTTTTATTCAAGTTACACTTAAGGACAGACACGAAATCTTGAATCAGCCATCTCGTTCCCCGTGACTTGAACGTGGGCTGAACTACAAGCGTTTAACGATCTTACCACTCAACCGCTGGTGGGTTCGCTTATAAAACTGAAGATGAGTCTTCAGAAGTCACAAACATAACGGCTTGCCCGTTTTGGGAAAAAAAAATTTCCTTCTTTCAAATGATTACCCCGCCTCGTGTATCTACTCTCTATATTCTTAGTCAAAATATATGGAAATATTTTTTTCTAATCTTCCCTCCCTAAAAAAAGTATCTCACAAAAATTAGAAAAATGCATGGTGGAACAACATAAAACACGAAAATCCTAATTATTCAGATCAAGGAAGCCTGATCTTGTATTAACATACTTTGTATCATTGAAACATCTAATTATCCGAATATTTTTGGTAAAGTATAATTAATATTCGCTTATTAAAAAATTGTTACAGTTTAAGTTAATGTAGCATGAAAATAAATCTTGGCATTGCTGAACTTTTGGAATATTATTTTAGGTTATCCGTAGAGAATGCGCATTAATTAAGCAAAGAAGCATTACTATGTGGGTTTTGCACAATCACTCTTTTACAAATCTCAAGCAAAGAGCTGTAATTGAACCTTCTTTAGTTGGTAAAACTATCTTCTCCTTAGTGTTGGTACGTTTCAATTTCGCTTTGTTGAATGTAGATACACCAGTAAGTAGCTCATGATGTTGCTTCTCTTGTAAAACATCTGAGTCATTAGCAAATGAAAAATAAAATAAATACAGAAGAATGATAATATAATCCTTAAAATTATTATACATATATACTAATGTGATTTAAGGGGGAAAGAAAGGACAGAAGCAGCGAGGCATTTCTGAAAAAAAAAAAAAAATGTAACAGAAATAAAATCTAATTACTTGACTTGAAGGGGAAAGGAAAAAAAAAGTTGCAGTTTTAGACATTAATTTCAGAAGTGCAGCACTTTAAGACTTTTAAAATATTTTCACAGATTTGTGTACTTCAAAATGTAAAAATGAATCTAGGAAATTTTTTATCTTTCGAAAACGTAGAAAACACGCAACTACGTGAAAAGTAACTTATCCTTCGTTTTTCTAACAGCCTTGCGCTATTTAATGCGATGAATGATGAAAAATGACTTTTCTCAGAATACTTATTCTAATTAACTTTGAAGAATTTATGTAATATTATTTACTAGTTGATGATCATATTTTACAGAACGCCAAACTTGAATTTCAAGTCGAGGCTACAGTATTCAGCGTGGACATTCACTCCAATTTAAGTTGCAGGAAAGCAAGATAAATTTACTGATTTCTGAGCTGCTAGCAAGCGATTCTCGAATAAAATTAAATTGTTTAAAAATAACGGCAACCTACCATTCCAGTTTTGAAACACCAGCTGTTTGAAAACATGAAAGATTAACCCTTTATGCTTACAGTTGCCTTCGAACACCGGAGTGAACATTTATTTGACAAATAAATATAACAATGCTGTTATTTCAAAACACTGTTACTGTACTGAATTAATAGTTTAATACAGTTGCATAAGAGTTTTAAGTACAGAATTTGTTATTACACAGCTGTTACCTTCTGTCATAATTTGCACACACTCCCATATAAATGATTAACAACTCCCCCTCTCAAGATAGTTTTACAGCTTGAATTCAACTCACAACCTTTGCATTCTATTAAATAAAAAAATGTATTTCCTATTAATCTGTTTATGATGAATTCTTGCTTCTGTAATTCAGAAAATGCTTAATAAAAAAAGCTAGTTCACTTGAGATCTCCAATACTGATTATTGGAGATTATATATTTAATATTTCTCTATAAAGCATTGGATCTCCAGTAATGATCAGAATAACATAGATTGCTAAATGAAACCTTAATTCCATAATTTTTAGATTAAATAAATTTAAAATAAGTTGACATCAGAGTTCATTATAGCAGAAAACTCATTTTTACAAATAATTAATATTATTTTCAAGTTTTTAATTTAAACAAAATTCTTAAATAGCTGCTGAACACTTGTTTCAATTTTAGAGAAATTAGACACGATTAAAAATCTGGTTATGGAATATTTATTACATCATTAGGTAATTAATTAACGGTGTACTGAAAATGTTGTTGCTTATAATCATCCGTTAATTATTTATATTGTACTTGCTAACAAACTGAAACGATCGTACACATAAAAAATAAAGGTTTATTATTAATTCATAGTTAAACTGATTAAACTGATTCCTAGTTAAAATTCATTAAAAAAAGTCAACTTTAAAACACAATAAAATATGAAATTTAAATTATCATAAATTTCATAGCAGCAAAAGCAAACAGCATTAAATGAGATACTTTTAGATTTACACATTAAATTAGACTTTAGTATAAAATACTTCCATGCAGTTTGATGCAAATAGCAAAATATGAAGACCGAAATAAATAAAAAAAAAAAAAAAAAAAGAAAAAAAGGTGCATGGATCAACTAAAATTAAATTAAAGTGAAAAGAATTATTTTAACTTAAAAAAACGCTCTTATGTTAATTTGTATAATATCTGTATTAATAAATGACTAAAAGCAGTACATATCCCGCAAATAAAAACTTTTTAGCTGAGCTCCAAATTCAGAAATTTGTAAGTTATGAAGATTTAAAAAAAATTCTCTTAAATTGTTATTTAGCAGTGTATGGGTTAGAAAAGCTCTGCAGTATTTAATTTCATCTAATCCAAACCTTCTTTTGACGGCAAGACGGTCTTTTCCACAGTATCAGCTCTCTTAAGTTTTCCTTTATTAAACTTAGATACTCCTTCTAAAAACTCTAGATGTTGTTTTTCTTGCTGTATATCTAGCAATAATATAACAAACTCAAAACTTCATTGAATTTAAAATATTTGCTTCAGGTACAGAAGATATAATTTTAGAAATGAAATCATCGAGCTAAAATTAAAACCTTAATTAGTAAAGTAAGTTATACAGACATCAGAATTCAAAAGAAAAATATATTACATTTTTCACGAACATAAAAAAATAAATACACGCATTTAATTAAAAAAAATATAACACTTCGTTGAACTTTTATGTTGGAAAGGGTCGGTTCATCAGGAAAGAAACATTTATTAGGAGTTTAAAAATAACCCATTGAAGCAGACAACTGTAGAAGGGGGTGGGAAGACAGAAGTCTGCCAATGATGCTATTTAAGGGACACTGTTTAAAAAAGTTTATTTCATCTTCTCAGGAGATTTAGAGTCTTAATATGAATACACATATACTTATTAAAACAGTAACCTAGTTAACAATTATGGCGCTATCAGTGTTGCGAAAGACGTCATTTTATTATGTAATTAAATATTATTATAAATAAAAATTATGTAACTTAACCTTCTTTGGAGGGCAAGGGGTTCTTTTCTTTGGTTTCAGTGTGCTTCATCTTGGCAGCATCAAATTTTTCCAGTTCATTTTTGAATTCATTGGGGACCTTAGGAAGATCTTCCTTGGCTGGACTGGACATGATGATATGAGGCACGACTTCTAAACAAATGAAATATAAAACTATTAAAAGTCATATTATGCAAAACACCGCGTCAAATAAAATACAAGTAAAAACTATCATTAAAGTTGGCATTAATGTTATTAAAACCGTACGAAAGTTTAATTAGGAATTTCATTATTGAAATTACAGTTCTTTTACATTGCAAGATGAAATACTAAAATCTCTATAAACATAGCTCTCTATAAAGCAATTATAGAACTGATGCATTTATCTTATCATGATAATAATTTATCCTTTCAATTCAAAGAAAGGAAAGACTAATTATGAGTAGCTTGATATAAATTCAAAAAATTCAATAATTGTCAAATGGGTAAGATGCTGTAAGCCTTAGAATAGAAGGGAAACATTTCATAAAATAATAAAAGTGCATTGTAATCCACCCTGAATCATATACCCTGATACTAACTAACTATTGTAGTACAGAACTGATAATTTCTACTGATGTTTAAAAAATGTATCATAAAAATGTAAAATAATACAATAATATGAAGTGAGTGAGAGGAGGAAAATTGATTTTTGTCACTGATGTTAATAATTCAGATCTTTACTTTTTATTTAATTAAAATGACATTTGGAAAGTTCCACAATTAGGCTGTTTAAGTAACAAGAGAATCATAGCATGTTAGATACCTATCTGGTTTGGAATAAGATTCTGAAGCCAGAAGCAGCAAAAATTCACTGCCACTGATTGCCTTACTTGGCTTATACTGCTTTATAAAAACGAAGCTACAAACAAGTTGTTCAACTCTCATTGTAAAATAACATCATATGTATAAAAATCTTTATGAAACTATTCTTATTATAATAAAGCCATGCTTGAAGCGCATTATCTTTCCTCTTCCCCGTTCAGACTAGTAATACGTTGCATATGTATACATTTATTTTGTTCAGATCAGTGGCTCTCAGCTAGGAGCCGTATACCTCTGACCTCCTGGCAGCCATGAGAACGAAATAATATTGGGAAACCTTAAACATATATTAATAAGCCTCATCCGCAAAGTTTTCCCTTGGGCATTATCATGATCTTCATATCATATAGTGTCAGTAAAATAATCCATTTCTTAAATTTTTAGAGAAAGCTTCAATACATAAAAATATAAATAAAATAAAGTACATATATACAACGAATGCATATATTAATCACCCAGAATGAGTAAATGTTAAAAAATATGCATTATACTTTTGAAATAATTTTTCTCTTTTCTTATTTTCTAAGAGCTATCAAAATAAATTCTAAATTAGAATGAGCTACGTACAAAAAAAAAAAAAAAAAAAAAAAAAAAGCTGAAAACAGCACTAGATGAAAGGAAGGCCCAGAAGCGATGGGTTAGAAATTCGCATCCCCAAATCACGGATATTTGTGATTGTATGCGAAGAAGATGAATTTTAAATCCGTCGGAAAGAAAGTCCTATCAAAAGATTAAAGAAGGAGTAAGAGGGTGATAAGGCGATTGGATTTCATTCGTCTAAATATTCTTATTCAATATGGGTTCAGTAGGGTAAGTCAAACTGTTTTCACAGAAGCCCGAGGTCTACGAAAAAGACGGATGAACCTGTATTTTCGTTCAAGATTGTTCAACAGCCTGTTCACATGAGAGCTTCGGATAAGGGACAACATATAAAATAAATTCAAGACATTTTTTAAACAATACTTTTTAATTTGCATACTGAATCCTTCATTTGTGGTAGTATTCGTAATTCTCAATATACTATATTTAATAAAACATAATTATTCATTAATGATTCATTTTACAATTTCTTGATAAAAAACTGTTCTTCCACATCCATGGAAAGAAATCAGACAAGGGAAACTACTATAGTGGCAATGAACATTTTGAAAGGGGTGAACAGAAACAAAAAAAGGAAAAAAAAATTCCAGGAAAAAAACACACAATTTTAAATTTTAAAACAAAATATCACGGATTACGGGGAAAAATTAGTTTATTAATACATTAATTAAGGTAAAACAATTAGGTTTCCTATTAAATCACTGAAGACTTTAAACACAGAAATAGAGATAAGCAATCTTTCTGGTACCTAACAGCACATCACAATTAGAAGTGTAATTTTCTTTTCTAAGATCTTTATATTTTCCTCCGTCCTAGTATTATTAACCCTTCACTTTCGCAATAGTTGATTATTTTCTATTGATAATTTCTAGACCACATAATTTTTCAAAAGCTTTAAAAGAATTTTTTTATTATTTTTAATATACATCTCTATATGAATTAATATATAATTAATTCAAATAGGTGAGGAATTTAAAACTTAATTTTATAAAAATTTAGCAGCTCAAGGCACTAATTTTAGTCCTATTTGTTCTTTCGTTTTTTTAAGCCTACTTTATTACATGTTCTTTATATATAAGGAAAGGAAATATATTTCCGCAAATAAATAATTAATGCCAAATATGAGTTTGAACCATTTTTCTTTAATTTCTACCTGTCATTCCGCATTCAAATATACTGTAATAATTGTACTTACTTAGAGATGTCTCTTTCTTAGACGACTACGAGAAAAGACTTTTAACGATATACACTCTGCCTAGGGTCCAAAATCAGGACATTCCTTCCACAAACAGGCGGTCTCACTAACAAAGTTTTAGAGAGCTAGCTACCAGTTTTGTATAATTTCTAATTACCAATTAAACTTGCGGGCCTTGAGTTTGACTGATTAAAATATTTATCTGACTGAATGTACTCTTTACAAGAACACTTCTTTTAAGATAAATCCATTCATCCTCCTTTAACAGCATAAGTAGGAGAGATTGCTCCCTTTCGCGTAAGAGATGATATCGAATGTTGGCGAATAGGAGGTGGGTGTGGAGTTTGCAAACTCTCCTACGCTAAAATATGCCGTCATCCCCATAGCGTTATTTTTGAACAGACCAGAAGGGGAGAACTGCCAACAAACACGATATTGAATTAGGAAGAACTGCGACTGCATTTCCCATGAGAGATAAAGATGGTTCAAACATTTTCGCCAACAAGATAAAAAATATGCTTAGAACAGGTAAAAGGTATGGACATTTACGTATTAGAAAACGCATGAAATATGCGCTCCCTAAAATATTTACAAAAAACGATAAGTTCATACTGGAAAATATGTACTAATTCATGGGTTTATAATCATGACATGTTAGTAATATACATAAAAAAAAAAGAGATTGGAATCGAGGATTAAAGCCCTTTTTTGTAAAAGAGACAAAGTAATATAACTGATTAAAAGTAATATAACTGATATAAAGCGGATTAAGTACAGAGGCAATATTATCAAATTATGATTAAAAGGAATGTAACTGATTAAAATAACTTAAACATATAAAAGTAATATTATCAAACTATAAGGAGCAAACAGCTTCTCGATCTTCTATTACAATTTCATAGTAGTTTGTAGTTTTGAAAATGGTTCAAGGTTATTTAATTACGGCAAAGCCCCTGCCTAAGGAAGATATGCTTTTGCAGAGCACTTTCTAAAAGAAACTGCTCGTACTCACGTTACACATGGAGAAAACAGCCTGGCCGTTAGCATGGGTTTGAAACCGGGCTGAATTACTAATATTCAGCGGCTTTAACTGCTCGGCCACTCTTGGGGCAGTTTTGAAGGAATTTCTTCTGATTTTTTAATTAAAAGTAGCGAAATCTCTACCTTGTTTTATTTTTATTCGATCTAACAAGGAAAGCTATCGGACTTCCGGATGAGAAAAGCCACGGAATGTTCAGGGTTGATCCAACGTACGAACAAAACAACAAGCGCAAAGTGTTGCATTTTTAGCAATCATCCCCACAGTAGCATATTTTTAAATGGCGCGAGAGCTCGGTATATTTGCAGATATGGAGAGGCAAACATAATGTATCCGTGAGTCACAAGCTCTTTATGTGATAAGGCACCATGTTGACAGGGTACAAATGTCTCGTATGGCAGTGACAACTGTTTGAGTAATGTGACACAAAATTTGGGAATGTTCAACAGTTATTAAGTAGTAATATGGAGTAATAAGCATGCCGCATGATTAAAGAAATAGTTTGTAATTCTCGTGGTGTGGAACAAATATTAGTAACGGAGGTGAGGTAGTAGTATTTAACAAACAACCAAAAAGTGACGTAGCAATATCTAGCAGGTAACCAACAAGTGCTTTGTACGAGCGTTGTTTATATTGTCGGGGTAATAAAAACCCTTAGCACCAACTGACAAAATATACAGACACCATCGAAAAGAATATGAGGGATATTAAGACGTAATCCCACTGAAGAATCACTTGTAATCTGCAACATACTCTGCCTAGAAATATGTTGTATGGTTTACAAGGTACAGCAGTGCATAGAATTGCAAACCCTTTTGCAAAATGTCTTGAAAATGCACACCATCAAGCTGCAGATTCATTCGAACGTTAAGTTCCATATTACTACAGGTTTCTTGCGCGTTATTTTCTAATATCTTTTAACGAGGAAGAAGCAGCCCGGCCATCGTATTAGTCCGGAACACTGTCCAAGATTCAAATTTCTTCGCAAACTTTATGATACGTTAAGCCGTTTAACATGAAACTTTAGTTTACAAATGTAATTCGTGGACTGAAAACCATTCATCCCATAAAATATTCGTAAATAAAACTTAAACTGTTTTCTTCATACCAATTAATGTAAAATTAATTAATCCGTTCCTTGACCACAAATAAAGTTTTACAACAGTACTGTGTATGCAAATTCATTACGCAAAACCCGTGGAAATCATGAAAAGAAAAAGAAGAAGGAAAGAATAAATAAAATAGGTAGAAATTTAGTTTAATTTTACTGTTCTTAGAAAGAACGGCATGGCGAAGAGGAAGGGAAAAGGGAAAGGCAAGGCAAGTTGTTGTTTGGATAGGGATTTTCCTTTAATAAGATTATCAGATAACTGGCTTTGTTTCTTCTTTGTCTTTTAACCCCACTCCACAAGTGGCCAAGTGGTTAAGACCCCCGAATGCTGGTAGTTCAACCCGGATTCAAAACGGGGCAAACGGGCTAGCTGCATTAATGGTTTTCGTATTTTTCCTATTTGTAAAGTGAATACGAGCCAGTTTTCCTTAGAAAGCCCTCCACGATGGCAACCTTTCCCTCAGACATATAGCCCTCGAGTGCTTTGGAGTATTCCAATAATTTAATTTAACCTAAGCTTTTAGAGCCACTCTGCTTGAGATTCGCTGGATCTCTGCTTCAGTCAGAATATTAAAATGATGTTTCAGAAATTTTTAGGCGCTAATTGTGTCACTTTACTTCTATGATACATCTGTGTCACACACACTTTACTTCTGTGTCACACATAGTTTACTTCAAAACACCTTTGCATGTGTGCTCACATGTTCGTTACTCAAGACAGCGTTCATCAATCGATATGTTTTTTATTTAAAAAAATTGTCCGTGAATCGATCTATTTGTGACAAAAAGCGTTCGTTACCCATAGTTCCGCTGTACTTTACTTCCCACTGAAATGTTCCAGAAAAATTCCTGATTTATTTCCTTTGCAGAGTGTGTTAATATACATTTCTAATAAAATACTGCATCATCCCGAAAGATGTTTAATAACTCAATGAAGCTCACGCACTCTACCACTGAAGCAATAGCTACCTGATGGGAATATGCCATAAGGAACTATGAGATTATCATGAATATGCTATCATGCATTTCATAAGGCTCAAAGTTACTTGGAAACAAAGTATCGCTTTTGTATGTACAGAAGAGAAAGAAATATACATGTTTCATTGGTAGAACTGGGCCTTATCTATCCTATCCTAACGTAACCAATCTATTTCCTCTGGCCTTGAGGCATCAAGCATTTGAATTTAAGTTTTAAAAAAAGTAAAACCTCAATTTTCGACTTTAGTCGCAAGGGAATATCTTGATTAATTTAGAAGTCAAACAACAATCTTGATTAGTTGAAATTATATTGCTCGATATAAAATTAATTATTATTTAATATTTATATATAATTAAAAGGATTTAACGGAAACCTGAATCTCAAATGTGAGAAGACTACAGGTTTAACTGCATTCATTTTTCTTTCCAAATGTGTTGCAATTTAGACTAAAACTTGAATCTATACAAGATTATGCTTTAGTTAAAAAGCAATTGAATTCGTCCGGATGTCAACTACAGTACACAATCCAGTTTTAAATTTTTGCGCAATTTGAGCCTAATATATATGTCTCTACTACAGGGCACCAAGTACAACGTCAGAATGCATTTTATTTATATTTGCAGAACAAGGCATGACAGCATAATTAAGCATTGCTATGTACTTATCATTTATGTCTCCATATAAAAAATTCAAATTAATTTATATTCATATTTACTTTTTTTTCCGATTTCCTGTGAAAATGCTATAGAAGCAAATTTGAAAAATAATAACAGATGTTGAATTTAAAACTAACAAACCGATTTCAAACCAATCTTCAAATTACCTCCTACTTTTAACTCATTCCGAAGCAAATATTTCTTTTACTCACGGATGAATTCATCAGATTCCGAAGAAAGCTGAATAAAAAAGATAAAGCGTAAGGCAAATTGCCAAGTCTATTTTTATTCCGAAAAATTGTTAAGAGTAAAAACGCGAAAACGCTCCTTAAAATTAAAAAAAATAGAAATGGATTCAAGCTAAATAGAAATTTCTCGAATGTAATTCCAAATGAATGAAACTCAAAAGGGATTTGATCCATGACTAGAATTTAAATTTCGTTCTATATTCTTGATTAAGAGAAAAGGTGGCTATTCATCCAATATGCCATACACAGGAAAAGCCTGCTCGTGTTGTGACGACGAACTTCGTTTTCAGACGATTTTGGTTTCCTGTGGAGGCGGTCGCCTTATAAAACATGATTATCGCTGATGTTCAACACCACTTTGTTTATTACGTTCTTAAAAGCTACTAAACACTTTCAGAGGGAACGATCTACAGATGCTGGGTACCAAGGGGGTAGATTCACTGTACATACATTTAAAATAGACGATGAAAATTTTTTTACCATTTGCCTTGTAAAGGCATTAGGACTTTTTTGATGCAGGAGTCATGAAAATGAGCAATGCCTTCGCGGGATTCGAACCACGGTCCTCTCGAATACGCGCCGAATGTGCTGACCACTACATCACGAACGAAGGCACGCTAAGAAGGCGGGAGAAATACGTTATATACAACCCCCTCTTAAAGGGCGACTTGGGATTAGGGGACACAATCGTCAAATCCTGGTGGTGGAGAATCATCATCTAATACCTTTTTAGTTCGGGTGCCACCGTAGAGACATTAGATATTTTTAAAAGTAGGAGAGATGAAAATTGAGCAGTGCCCTCGCCGGGACTCGAACCACGGAATACGCGCCGAGTGTGCTGACCACTACACCACGAAGGCATGCTAAGAAGGCGAAAGAAATACTCTATAGCCTAAAAAATTATATATTTACGAAAATTGAATAATCTAAAATTCATTGAATTCGAAAACAAGTTTTTCTAATACTTGCGCAAATGCTGCAAAGTAAGATAATAATAATTTATTTACTAAAGAAATATTGATTATATTATTTCCTAACATAAATTTAGTAGAATGTATCAAATAGAGGGAACCAGCATGTAGAAAGTTTAATCCCGAAAATTTTTTAAAGGAACTTGAATGTAAATCATGAATCATAAATCTTTTTAAGGGGGCTTGAATATAAATTATGAATAACAAAATTTCAACTTTTGAAAAAGAAACTAAAAAACAAGTAATTATCGCTATTGATCGGAAATTAGTTGACTTTTCAATAATTAATAACACTAATTAATAAGGAAC